CCCCAAAACCCCAAAACCCCAAAACCCCAAAACCCCTTAAATTTTAGAATTATTGAATGCAATTAATCTAGGGAAGTTGGTAGTAATTTAGAGTTCTTTCTCAATCTCATCCAGTATGAGCTCCTCTTCAGATTCCTCCTCCTGGGTGATTTGGGATTTTATGTTTTTCTCAGTCAAAAGTTTGGACATCATTGATTTAAATTCTACGTACGAGATTTCTCCATCGCCGTCAATATCAACCTCTTGTATTATTTCGTCCCAGATCCTTTCGTCAAAATTTTTACCAATCCCCAAGACTTCTTTGATCTCTGAGGAAGAAATTGTGCCTCCTCCATCGATATCAAATAGATCAAAGGCTTGCTTGAGCTTCTCATCGGAAAGGAGTTGGTTTTTGTTAATAGTCGCTACAACCCACTCAGAATAATCAATGGATCCGCTTTTATCAGTGTCTGCCATCTGCATGATTCTTTCTACTTCATCTTCTGCTTCATCTCCCATGAGTTGTCTGTACCCGATCAACAATTCTTCCCTTGAGAGGACACCTGTCTTACTGATGTCTAATGCTTTAAAGGCTTTTTGAAGCTCCTCCATTTGCTCTTTAGAGGCAAGTTGGGAGACAATGAAAGTAATAGCTGCCTGCTGTAATTTCTTTGTTGCCCTAAATTCCTTCAGATTTTCCAAAGCTGCTAGAGTATTTGCTGTATCATATTCTTCATTTATTTGAGTAGTAAACCATAAATGATTCAATGCTTCGGCTCAGCTATACCTCTTTTTAGGATCATAGGTCATTAGTCTTTTTATGAGGTCTTGAGCTTCCTCTGACACATCGTCCCATTCTGAGCCATCCATGGAGTATTTTCCTTCTTTGACTCTTTTTCAAATTTCTTTGTCAGTCTCTCCTTCAAATGGGGGTTTTCCACCTAGGAGAATATACATGATGACACCAATACTCCATCAATCTCATTTCTCGTCATAATCGGAATACAGGACTTCTGGAGCGATGTAATAAGAAGTTCCAAACACTTGACTAATCTTTTGGTCAGGCTTCATTTGATGACTAGTCCCAAAATCTATCACTTTTATAGTATTCTTCGAGCTAGAATCGATTAGAACATTCTCAGGCTTTAGGTCTCTATGGACTACATTTTTGGAATGACAATATGAGATAGCCTCAAGGACTTGTTGCATGATAATAGCTGCATCTCGCTCACTGAATACAGTTCTATTTCGCTATCTCATCGAATAGTTCACCGCCAGAGCAAAGTTCTGTAACTAAGTAATACCTTTTATTATCTTGGAAGATTTCGTAAATTCTTAAAATGTTGGGATGATGAAGCTTTTTCATTATTTCCATTTCATAAAAGAACTTAATTTTCTCATTTCCTTGCAGAGCATCTTTTCGGATAATCTTTACAGCTCTGGTCTGCTGGGTTAGTTTGTTATTTACATTTCCTGACCTCTCCAAATGAGCCAGACCCAAGCGCAGGGCCTATTTGGTAGGAATCTCTGAACCTTCCATTCTTCTCAAATACAAAATCTCCTTGGGAAATCCTTAGATCATTAATATCAGTTATCTCTTTCCCTGAAGAATCGTTTAATTCATTTAAGGAGATTATATTACCATCTCCCCGTTTTGGTTTGGCAACTCAGGCACCCATCTAGAAATATAAATTAATAATTCAATTTTATAAAATTGATAAGGGGTTTTGGGGTTTTGGGGTTTTGGGGTTTTGGGG